GGGTGGGGTTGAACTCGGGGCTTTGAACACACTAGGCAAGTGCTCTACCACTGAGGCACATCCATCACCATCCCTCCTGATCTTCAGTTACTTTTGTTACTTTTTTTTCTTTTTTCTTTTTTTCAACTTTCACTATGTTTAGCAAACCTTGATTGTTTTCTTACTTTGTATTCCACTAAACTTACCTGAATTATACCTTAATATCTGTAGCTTTCATTTCAAAATGTAGCTTGTTTTCCAGAGTAAATTTACTTCTTTAAGAGATGGAAGGGCAAGTTTTACCTCATCTGCAAATTTCAGCACATATAAATGTTTGTTGAAGAGTGAAAAGACATATTTAATATTTTTCTTTATTTCCTTAAATACATTTCCTGGACTATCTGTGTTTGCTTTTAATCTGTGTTTTACCCAAGCAGTTTTGGATTTTTGTGTATATGAAGTTGCTGTTTCTTGGACCAACAATTTTCTTGTGAGCTAAGCAATTTATTAATCACAATACATATTTTCTTAAGTGGAAAATAAGTGTTTTGGTCAGTGATAGTTCGTTTATTGTTGTTATCGTTGTGATGATGATTGAACTCAGGACCTTGTTCTTGATAGACAGGCACTCTACTACTTGAGCCATTCCCTAGCATGATAATTCATTTGAGAGTCTGTTCGGGTTTCTTTTCTTTATTCATTTATTCAAATGTGCATACATTGTTTATGCCATTTTCCCCCCTTGCCCCTCCACACCCTCCCTCTCTCCCCCCACCACCCTTGCTTCCAGGCAGAACCTGTTCTGTCCTATTCTCCAGTTTTGTTGAAGAGTAGACATAAGCAATAATAAGAAAGACATAGCATTTTTGCTAGTTGAGACAGGGATAGCTATACCGAGAGATTGCTAGCATTGCTTCCATGCACACGTGTATTAAAGCCTGAATTGATTCATCTCTGCCTGACCTCTTCAGTACTTCCTGCTCACCTTCCCGTATTGACCTCTGTCATTTTAAGGTTACTGTATTAGCTCCTCTGCAGTGGGCACATCAAACACTTTCAAGTTTGGGGTTTCCTGACTAGCCCTATTCTTTCTATATGTGCTCTCCCCTTAGCGTGTGACCCAAGTCCAACAAAACATTGCTGCATTTGCCCTAGATCTAAAGTCTGCATATGAGGGAGAACATACGAATTTTGGTTTTCTGAACGTGGCTAACTTTGCTTAAAACGATGTTCTCCACTTCCATCCATTTACTTGAGAATTATAAGATTTCATTCTTCTTCATGGCTGAGTAAAATTCCATTGTGTATAAATACCACATTTTCTTAATCTATTCATCAGTAATGGGGCATCTTGGCTATTTCTGTAACTTGGCTATTGTGAATACCACTCCAATAAACATGGGTGTGCATGTGCCTCTGGAGTAACCTGAGTCGCATTCCTTTGGGTATATCCCTAAGAGTGGGATTGCTGGATCATATGGCAGATCTATGTTTAGTTTTTTAATAAGCCTCTATATTGTTTTCTAGAGTGGTTGTATTAGCTTGGATTCCCATTATCAGTGTATGAGGGTTCCTTTCTCATGAAAGACATAAAAGGCTGTCGGTTTAATTGCTTTATACACTGGCCTGTAGTATGCTCCTTCAGGATAAAGACTACTCTTTGGTTGCTGTATAGTTAGTCATGCCTCCATGTCTGCAGGAGATTGGTCTCCAGGGATACCCCAATCTGGTGATTCTCAATTACCTTATATAAAATAGTGTAGTGTTTGCATATAATCTATGTGTATCCACCCGTATACTTTAAGTAATTTGTATATTACTATAGTACCTGATATAGTGTAACTACTGTGGGAATAGGTGTTATACTGTATTTTTTATGGAATAAACACCCTAAAAAAGTCTGTACATGTTTAGTGCAGACTCAAGAGCAGCCATCCATCTTGAGCCTACCCACATAGTATACACTGGCAACAAGTTTCAATTCCAATATTGGTTGAATCCATGGACCTGGAGGACCAACTGTATAGTAGTCAGGTCAACAAAAATGAATTCAGTTATGCTTGCCTGGTAAAAAGAAAGAAAATACTTGATTGTGCTGATGATTCTGTTTTTTCACTTAATGACCTTATGCCTTGGAGTCAATAGTAAGGAAGAAAATAATGATACTTAAGTCTGTTTCCTTTTTTTTAGTTCAGAGTATGAGTCTGAGCATCGTTCTTATGGTAAAGATTACTAATTTTTGTCAAACATGGTCCCTAAATATAAGACAGCCATGTCATCCATGCAGTATAAAAGTAAAGTTTTGTCAATCTGGGGTCAGATTGCTGGAGTTTGAATCCTGCCTTGGATAGATTTCTCAACCTATCTGGGCTTTAGTGGCTTACACATAAAATGAGGATAATGAGCCAGGTGCTGGTGGCTCACACCTGTAATCCTAGCTACTCAGGAGGCAGAGATTAGGATTGTGGTTCGAGGCCAGCCCTGGGCAATAGTTTGCAAGACCCTATCTCGAAAAAATCCATTACATAAAAGGGATAGTGGAGTGGCTCAAAGTGTAGGTCCATTCAAACCCCACTACTGCAAAAAAAAAGAAAAAGGGGGGGGTATTGTATCTTCAGAATGATGCTCTGAAGAGTCTTTCAGAAGTAATTTTGATAGTTAATGGTATTGCTTCATACATTAACTTCAGCGTTGTTTGTAAGATTTGGATCTAGAAATTTGTTGATTTTATTTAGCAGATGAAAATTCAATCCTGGGTGAAAGGCTGAATTTTCTAGCAGAATGGTGTAAGTTATATTTGATTAATGCGTGATGTAGTAGGCAGAAGTTTCTTTCCTTTAACTTTATATTTTATATTCTTACTGGTGTTCACAGTTTAAATTTATGCCCATTATCTTCCTTATGGAAATTAAGTACATAGGACTTAATCTTTTCAAATTCTCTTCTTTTACAAAGAGAATAGAAGGGAGGTTTTTTTTGTTGTTTTCATAGTAAGAGAAGAGGTCTCACTATGTTGCCCGGTCTGAAGTGATCCTCCTGCCTCAGCTGCCAAGTAGCTGAGATTACAGACACTTGCCCCATACCTGGCATGAAATTGGTATTCCTTGAACTCATCAAAGTTACCTGTAGAAGACCAGAGTGGCTGAAGTTGAGTAAGAGAAATACCTACTTTCATAGATTATTGTAAACTATGGAACCTTGAAAAGATGACCAAAACCAAGTTATTTCCAGTAACATTAAATGGCATAATGTTTTTTTTTTAATGTCCCAAATAGCTTTTGGATAGGCAAATAGACTACATGAAAAGATACTAGCTTTTCAGAATGTTCCCATTATGTTTTAGAACTGTCTGTCTTCATTTCTCATTTGTAAAAATGTACTTTCAAAATTGTCTTTGGGTTTATTTTCCAACTTGAGCCTTTAATTCTAAAGGTTTTTAATGCAGCTTGAGAAGGTAGACAGTGGGTAAAGTGACGTTGAAAAGCAGAACAAAAGGACTTCTGTGGGATGGAATTAAAATCCCTTGATTAAAAAAAATGACAGTTGTGTATTTTCTATGAAGACCTTTTTGTTAAGTACTCTTAATTTCTGCCTGATTTTGGCCCCAAAATTATGGAAATAGGGTATAGTTCCTGGCATAGCAGAAGGCTGGTGTTGATTGATAAACCATCAGTGATGGAATTTTCCTAAATTTTATCAAGCCTAAATAAGTGTCTTCAGAACTTTGAAACCATCAGTTATTTTTTAGTGCCTAATGTTGATGATACTCTGGCAACAGATTATTCTTTTTCTCTTTTTGGTAATTTTTTTCCTGCCCAAACATCTTTTGGGTGTGTCTAAAAAATGGATAACATTTTTCTTCAGGAATTTTCTAATATTTTCTTAGACCACTGCTTTTTTTGCCTTCCTTTCTAGAACTTCAGGTAGGTAGATGTTGGAACTTGTGGATTTATACTCCATATCATTTAACTTTCTCCAAACTTCTATCCTCTTATTTTCATTGCTTTCTGGCAGGTTCCTTGAACTTCTGTTTATTCATTTGCTTCTCAGCTATGCCTATTGTATTTTCAAGGTCTCTTTGTGGGGGGTGGTGGGGGTGCACACTGGGGTTTGAACTCTGGAGGGCCTCACCATTGCTAGGAAGGTGCTGTTACTGCTTGAGCCACTCCCCCACCCCTTTTTTTGTGATGTGTTTTTGAGATAGTGTCTCTAGAACTATTTGCCCAGGGCTGGCTTGTAACTGTGATTCTCCCACCAGCACCCAGCTCAAGGTTTCTAATTGGGGCTGGGGATGTAGGTTAGTGGCAGATCTTGTGCTTAGCATGGGTGAGGCCTTGGCCTTGGGTTTTGTGTTGAATCCCCAGCATTCCCTTCTTTAAAAAAGAAGAAATTCTGATTGTTTATTTTATACTGTTTTCTCAGATACTAGTTTTCTATTTGAGTTAGCGTCTCACTCTTTTTATGTATTGAGTTTTCTTTAGTGTTAGCAATTGTCTCTTGGAAGACAGGTAAATCATTTCTGTCTCTTGTTTTCTGTGTGAAGCGGATCCTCACTCCTTCAGGATAACATGGCCCTACTCTGGTCTGACTTTCTTCAGTGGAGTGAGAAGATTGTAGAGATTATGTCAAATGCAAGTTTTCTGACAATCACCCTGATGGTTGCCACCTCTTCTCCCTGCAGTTACTTAAAGGATTCTCAGTGTTTTCTCTTGCGGTTGGTTCTAGCATGTTTTCATAATCCTAATTGAGATTGCTGTTTGACTTACACTGGAAATTTTTGGAAGATGATTAAATCTGTTGTCAAGTGGAAGATTTTATTCACCTATTAATTTATTTGTGCTTTTCTGGGTTCCTTTCATCCTTCCATGTCTCAGTTTTAAATATATTTCTCATTGATGCCAGCAAGCTTACACTGTCTATAATGCACTGAACTTAGATATGTTATGAGTGATGCTAAAGAAGGAAAACAAGGTTTGCGGCAGGCGGGAATTTCTGGGCCTGCTTTTGTCTGAGATCTTAAGAGAGGCTACAATGGTTGCCACCGTTCCCTGAGTTTCACAGTGCTGCCTAAGGATGACGAGAAGAAAGAAACCGGAAAGTCAGCCAAGAAGGACAGGACCCAGTAAATAAATCTGTGGCAAGGCCACAAAGAAGACATCCAAAGGCAGTTTGGGACAAGCTCAACAACTCAGTCCCGTTTGACAAAGCCATTTATGACAAACTCTTTTTAAAGACATTCCCAACTATATCCCACCCCAGCTGTGGTGTCTGAGAGACTAAAGATTCTGGGTTCCCTGGCCAGGGCAGTCCTTCAGGAGTTCCTCAGTAAAGGACTTATCAAATTAGTTTTGAAGCACAGAACTCAAGTAATTTACAATAGAAATACTAAGGGTAGAGATACTCCAGCTGCTGAAGGTGCATGAACAGGCCTAACCAACTGTACATTTAGAAAAATAAAACTCTATTAAATAAAGTAAAGGAGGGAAGCAAAAGGTAAATGGAAAGGGGAAAGAAAAATGAAGTTAAGAATAGGGGAGAAAAAAAGATACAGAAATGATATCTTGCTCTCGCTTTTTATAACTAAGGAATACTCTGAGCCTGAAGCAGCTTGGGTTTCATGGATTCTTTAAATCATTTGTGGGGGTAGCTGCTTCTGCTTTTACTTTGTCAGTATTTACCTGTTGGAGGTACATGGATTCTTCTATGGTCCTATATATTTGTTAAAGTCAGGTGATGTTGACAATGATCAAATTTTGTACAGACATACCACAAAGCTCTTGTAATTAGTGACTGGAACGTGAATAACTGGCTTTGTCCACAGTAATACTTCCCAAATAATGATTGAAGATTTTACAACTGTTTACGGTTTGTATTAACTACCAGTTCTTCCATATTTTCCACACGGAGAGAGAAAGAGAGAGAGAGAGATAGAAAGAAAGTGTGCATGTGCACACAGTGGATCTAACAGAAAGCAAACTTTGAGACAGATAGTAGTGCAAAAGGTCTGTTGATGGGTAAATGATAAATATGGAGTAGCAGCTGTAATGAAGATGCTAAAGTATTTATACTATTTATTCTGCAAACAGACTAATAGAAATAGAGCAAACTATATGAATAAGTGGTTTTTAGAATAAGAAAGCCAAAAAGCTAATAAACATGAAAATATTTTCAAGTTCATTAGTAGTAAGAAAAATGCAAATTAAAAAAACATTGGGTTATTACTTTATACCTGAGTTTCTAAACCTTGGCATGACTGATATTTTGGATATAATAATTTGTTGTGGTGGTGGGCTAGCCTGTTAATTATAGGATATGAGCAGCATCCCCGATCTCTGCCTCCTTAATTCTAGTAGCACCTTCCTCTTCCTGTTGTGAATGTCAAAACTGAATTTCCAGGGCTGGAGATGTAATTTAGTAGTAGAGACCTTGCCTAGCATGTGTGATGCCTTACGTTTGATCTCTAGTAGCTAAGTAAATAAATAAAATTTCTAGCCATTATCAGAACCCTCTATGGGTATTGGGATATGAGGATCCTGCTTGACATGGCCACAGCCATCTTGGTCATAACTGTCATTTTGCCTGCCAGGTGACTCTGGCATGAATCCTGAACTCTGAAGGACAAAACATTTGTCAAAATAATCAGCTGGCTGTTATTGCCTGGACTGTTTTTTAATCAGTATTAGCCATATTAATCCTTTCTTAAGAAAGGCCAGGTACAATCTTGTTGGCTATAGCCTTTGTCTAGTTTAGCATACAAACCCCTTCCTCTAGACTTGCTGCTCTAGGTAGGCTTCTGTCCCGAAGTTTCTAATAAATTGCATTTTGTGCAGTCATGGTTCTGTCTGCCTCTTGATGTGGTCTTATTAGCATCTTCCTCTTTTGGGGGCTAATTCTTGTTCTGGAACTGTATTTTTCCAAAACAAGGGGGCAAAATTACTTTTGGCTGAGGACCACTGTTTTATACGCATTAGTGGCACATAGTTATCACTTCAATGATGATAGGAATGATGGAAAAGTGATACTTTAAAGCACTATAGAATTTTGGGGGAAAAGGCAGAATGTTTTTTGAAATTAAAAACAAATACTTTTGATTGAGCAATCCTTACTACTGAGAACATATCACATGAAGATCTTTGCATTTTATCAATTTATCATTTGATCACTGTAGTCTTGAGTCTTTTCTTGAACATTGTTTAGTTCTTAATTGTTTCCTCTTATTTCAGAACTCTCTTGATAGAGCACAAGCAGCCAAGAACAAAGGCAATAAATATTTTAAAGCAGGAAAATATGAGCAAGCTATTCAGTGCTATACTGAGGCTATTAGTTTGTGCCCTACTGAGAAGAATGTTGACCTTTCCACGTTTTATCAAAACAGAGCTGCTGCCTTTGAACAGTTGGTATGTACTCTAGGTTGTTTTCTGTTCCTTTTGTTTCTGTTTATTTGCTTAAAGTTTTAGTTAATGTTACTTAAATCTAGTACATTTTTGAAGGTTTTTTTTTTCCTTTGTTTTGAAATTACAGGATTTTTGTTATTTCCTTTAGTTAAAAAAACTAAGAACAAATTGTAGTTTTGCTGGCTACAATTATATAGATTTTATATAATTAAATAGTATAGAAAATTAGTTTTTTAGTGACTGTCGTTTTTAACAGTTGGAGGCTATTTCTTCAACTTTCTGTTTGTGTATCTATAATAATTGCATATGCAGGGGATGAAGACCAAAGGTCAATTCCATATATATTTTTTATGATAGGATTTTTCATTTGCCACCAGACTTTGTACAGCTTTTCATATCAAATCTTACGTATAAATAATTTCATTCTCTTAAAAGGTTATATGTAAAGACATTGTGTGTTTATGTCCTTGACTGTTGCATATCAAAACAGTGGAGAAAAGAGTATTATAGAGGAAATAGTAAGTATAATTGCTCTGAGGCTGGAAAGAGTTTGGTGTGTTTAAAGAACTATAGAAGTTCCTAGAGTTTAGAGAGATAAAATTGGAAAAATAGACAGGGACCAGGTCAGCTTTGTAAGCAGTAGGAAACTGTTTGAGCCTATATGAAGATGCACACTTGTAATTTCAGCACTTGGGAGATGGGAGCAGAAGGATCTTGAGTTCAAAGTCAGCCTTGGGCTATATAGTAAGACTATCTCAAGAAACGAAGGAAAGAAAAAGGGGGGAGAGGGGAGAAAGGAAGAAAGGGTTAATTCAGATTTGAGTCTAAGTGTAATTGAAATAATTAAGGGTTTTAAGCAAGGCATCATCTAATATTGCTCTTGCTTTTCTGTTGAGACTATATTGGAGAGTCAAAAGAGTACAAACAGGGAGACCAAGTTTCAGTAGCCTAGGTGAGACATGAAGGAAAGCTGAAGACCCACAGAACTTGCTATTGTATTGGATGTGAAAGGCAATGAAAAGCAAGGATTTTAATATCAGTGAGTATAGAAGGAGTGAAGACAGTTAAGTAGACAGTTTGAGAAATGTCTGTAATTTAGGAGAGCAGTTTGGGCTAGAGATAAATTTGAGAATCATCTAATTTTAGATGCAATCACCTAAGGAGAGAAAATATGAGGCCTCAAGGATTCAGCATGTAGAGATTAGGTAGAAGGGAAAAAGGAAATTGAGAAAGAGCAGCAGTGAGGTAGGAGGAAATCAAGGAAAGTGGTAACTATGGAGAATTGAGAATAAAAAGGAGCTGAGAAGTGGGATAGTAGCTGTAATGAGTTGCAAAATCTTTTAGATGATGGGACATCCTACAGCAAGTGTTTTTATATTCATGGAAATAGTCCAAAAGAGAAGCAGGTTGATGCAGAGAAGGAGTAGTTAAAAGATATGGATGGAGAGAGTGTGGATCCAAGTCACCAATAGAGGGACGGCCTTTGATGAGGTGCTGCCTCAGTTTTCGCAGGAATGAAGAAAAAAGTGGTATGAGCACAAAGCAATGGATAGGTTTGTAAATTTGGAGGTGGAAAGATGGCCTATATCCATTGCCTATTTTTAAAAATCTGGTTCCTTGTCTATTACAGGTGTAAGCTCCTGTAGTATATTGTGGATATTAACCCTTTGTGTTGGGACTATTGTGGGACTCTTTGTACTTGGTCTGTTATGTTTGGAAAAGTGATTTCTGTTGAACAGTGCTGTTTTTAGTGTGACTTTTTTTAATACTTTTAATTACAGCAAAAATGGAAAGAGGTGGCACAAGATTGTACAAAGGCTGTTGAACTTAATCCCAAATATGTGAAAGCTCTCTTTAGACGTGCAAAAGCCCACGAGAAGCTAGACAATAAGAAGGAATGTTTAGAAGGTGAGGGTAATTTTTTTATTTATGTATGAAAATTACTAAAGACTTTATAGTCATTGGTAAATTTATATGAAACTCTGCATGAGTACAGAAATCAGTTGTCTTTACAAACTGAACTCTTTCCCAACTGAGACTTTGTTTTCTACTTTAAATTGAAATTGCTGGTACTTAAGTACTGTCTCTGTTCTCATTATTCCATGATGTAGGAAACCAGAAAAGAAATTTTCGCAATAGTGTTTCTGTACGTATTTTCAGGTAATATTCTGTGTAAATGTGAAAAAAATTCTGGATGGATCATTAAAGAAAACATTTGGTTTTTTGCCTTTCATATTTTCAAACCTTATACCCAATTGCAGATTATGTAATTGGTAAACTATCCTAGTGAATTTGTCGTTTTCAGTAGATGCTGCAAATATTTTGCAGCCTGTAATTGGTGGTATCTGCTCCCCAAACTGCAATTAGGAAATAGGAGGCTATGTTGGCTTTTAAAGTACGTTTTTATAGGTGATGTGAAGCTAAAAAGTGCTTTCTACTACATGTTTAAGTATGCTTTAAAAGATTTAGCCATAATTATTATTTTTAAAGTAACTTCTTTTTGTGGGGGGTGGTATGAATAAACTCAGGGCCTCACAAATACTAAGCACACCTACTAGTGGGCTGTACTTCTGCCCAAAATAACAACTTTTTAAAGGAAAAACCCTTTAAAAAAAATTTTTTTTTCTTGCCAGGTTCCAGTGGCTTATGCCTGTAATTCTAGCTACTTGTAGGGGGAGCAATCAGGATGATTGAGGCTCGAGGCCAGCCCAGGCAAATAGTTTGTGAGACCCTATCTTGAAAATATCCAGCACAAAAAAGGACTGGCAGAGTGGCTCAAGTGGTAGAGTGACTGCCTAGCAAGTATGAAGCCATTAGTTCAAACTACAGTATCACCAAAAAAATATATATATATATATATATATCATAAAAATAAAAACATTTCTGTACTACCAAATGAGGATATTTTAGAATGCTTAGCAAAATTTAAAATGTTGTGGTGCCATGTAATTTGGTACTGGGTGAAAGTAGTGTCATTTTAGAAAAGGAAGTCCTAAGTTTTAAGCCAGACCTTAAAGCTACTAACAGATAATACTTGGCAGAGAAGATGTTGATTACAATTTTATATAGAAAAAATGGTGTAAGAAAGACATTGATATTTGCACTAACCAAAGTTATTAGGGGAATGTGACACTAGACTGACTTTTTAGAGGAGCAAGGATGTGGACTAGTGAAAAATTGAGTTCAGAAAGAGAGGAGGCAGACATTTGAAAGGTTAAGGAACTACTGATCTTTTACATTTCATATCCTTCTATCTTGATCTGTGGGATGACCAGATGAAAAAGGCATTTTGAGGCAGATTTGAGTTTGGTAGCAAAATAGTTTTGGAGACAAGGAATAACTCTGGGTCCTGTGAAAAAGAAAAGACATTTGCTGAGTGTGGTGGTGATCACCTGTAGTCCTAGCAACTCAGGAGGCTATGGCAGGAGAATTATTTGAGTCCAGGAATTCAACACCAGCCTAGAGAACACCATAAGACCCTTTCTCAAAAAAAAACAAAAGGCCACATGAGCAAGCCATAATGTGTTGGTTTGCCTTTTGTTCTGGCCAGAAGAGTATTGTTAGATTCCTTGTTTTATTTGCTGTGTATAGAGTGTAGAATAGTGAAAAGCCTCAGAAGTTTTGCAGTGCAAGCCCTTTCATTACACAGGTAAGGAAAATAAATCTCTGAGAAGTAAAATGAGCTTTTGAGCTTTGAGTTTGGTCATAAAATATATAAAATTAAAGTATTAGAAATTTATTGAAAATGAAACAGCCTGGTGAAGGTATGATTTTAATTTGGCTTTCTGTAGTTACCTTGTGTCCATTTGATGCTGCTGATCATCTTTGCAATGATTTCACACTTAGATTTTCATTATTTCTAGATGTCACTGCTGTGTGTATATTGGAAGGGTTCCAAAATCAACAAAGCATGCTATTAGCTGATAAAGTTCTTAAACTTCTTGGAAAAGAGAAAGCCAAAGAAAAATACAAGGTAAATTAATATGAGTTCATTAAGGGTAATTTCTAATTTATTTTACTTGAATTGAGCATAGTGGTTATGGTAACAGCCAAAATTAGAACTGCATTATATTTCTTTTTCCTAGCATCTTGGGATTTTATACCATATTTTTTTTCAACAAGAGTATTGTCTGTGTCCAATACTGTACTTGGAGAATATTGTAATTCATCTGTATTGGGGGTTGCCACACAATGATCCATGGGCCAAATCCAGTCAGCTTCCTGTTTTTATAAATAACATTCAGCCACTTATATATTGTTTTTGGCTGATTTTGAGCTGTAACAACAGAGTTAAGAGATTGTTGTGGCATACAGGGATTTTATGATTTGCAAAGCCTAAACTTTACTGCTGGCTTTTTACAGAAAAATATTTGTTAACCCCTCTTCTATATCATTAGTTTTGTTGTTTTACACCGCCTCTGGTATCAAATGTGTCATTAGTTTTTCATGTATAAATTGGTACTGGTTTTAGGCTTTTACTAACAGAAAATTTCATTCAATAGTTATTAAACAAGCTCCAAGCCAAAGGGGTGGATACAAAGACATGGTCCCTTCCTTACAGAATTACAATTTAGTGACACTATTACTTAGTATAAAAGGCCTGATATGGTTAAGTATCCACGGAGAGATTAAGTAGTGTACGGGACTACCACAAGATTCACTGGTAAATTTTAGGAATACCAAGACAATGTTCATTTTTTTTTTACTTACGACATGCTTTTCCCTCCAGTTGATCTTAATAATCTCATTATATATTGAACTTCCTATTTCTGAATGTTAGCAGAGTTAGATAGTTAAAACAGGTTTCTTTGCTATGGGATTTTAATGTACTAAGATGTGTTGTGAATCTCCAAGGTGAATATAGTTATAGTGGGTCTTTGTTTAAACTGTTGAATTTTTTTCCCTGCAACGTTTCATAAGGTTGAGGTTCCTTAAAAACATTTGGCGAAACATCATGCTAGAGTTTCACAAATTGAGCCTCTTAAGAACTTACTTTGTTTATATATGTTTACATGTTACTATCAAGTAGACTGTTTGAATTACAGGGTAGTAAGAAAGCATAAAGTAATTTGTACTTACCTAGATTAAAAATACCTTCCATATAGTCTAATCTGTGTATGCCACTTTGTAAATCACAGAATATTTTAATATTATTTTGATTTTTATAATTCCTTGTAAGATAATAAGGCTAGTATTTCAATTACCATTTTATTTATTTATTTATTTTTTCAATTACCATTTTAGAGATAAGAGAACTGAAACTAGAGATTTAATGATATGAGTAAGATCACATAACTAATAAGTGGCAAAATTAGAATTGCATCCTTTTCCTTTGATACTTAAGTCAGTTACCTGTAACGCTGTGTGGAAGGCAGGTAGGTGATAGCTTCATTTGTAAACTGAATTGGGCAAACTAAAAGACAGTAATGAATCTGGACATGGTGTTGTATGCCTATAATTCCAGCACTGAGGAAACTTGAGGCAGGAGGATCACATGTTCAAAGTCCAGCCTGGGCTACATAGCGAGTCTCTCTCAAAAACAAAACAAAACAAGTATAATAATTTACCCAGTTCCATCTAAGCTTTTCCCTAAAATGATAACTGATTGCCCCTATATATTCCTTCTCAGACTATCTTCAGTAAAATGCTAACGTTGGGGATATTTGTTACTTGATATTACCCATTGGATTTAAAATACTTACTTGTATTACTCTAAATTAAGATAAGTTGAATCTCTCCCCAGAGAGCAGAAAGATAAATATGGATGTCTTAGTCCATTTTGTGTTGCTACAACAGAATACCACAGATTGGCTAATTTATAAAGAAAGCAAAGTTGTTTTTCACAGTTCTGGAAACTGGAAAGTCCAATTGTCAAGGTGCTGGGAACTGGTGAGGGCTTTTGTGGAGTGGCTCAAGTGGGAGAGTGCCTGCATTGCAAGCATGAGACCCTGAGTCCAAATCCCAGAGAAGGATCGCAAAAGAAAATTAAAAAAACAATTATACTTTAAGGAGAAATAAAAACTCCTATAATTATGAACTGGATAGTTGTGTAAAAAAGAAATAATTAAAAGAGGAAATGTGATTTCAGTATTGTTCTCAGTGGCACTTAACTGTAATGGAATGGAAATCTTCAGGTGAAAGCTCATGGTAAAGGTGCTTAACATTTTGGGCATTTGTGTAGGACTCATTTAATACCTGCTTTGAAGAGCTGGACTGGCACCATCATCATTCCCATGGTCTTGTTCCATGGCTTTAGAACTTATTTATTTATTT